TTTAAAATGCGATTAAAGTGCATAATTATATATCTAAAAATAAAAATGACAAGTTATTTGGGACGGAGGGAGTAAATAAATAAACTTTGTTGACGTGACGTGAAGTGAAGTTGCTTTTTGATAATTCAAGCTATAATTAGCTCATTGACTTGTCCTATTTATTCCTATCTCAGACAGTGTTCATATTAGTTAATTACTTATTACAATTATTTATTTATTTATATTTTACTGAAAGCAATAGCTATACAAATTGATGTTCCCTTTTCTCCTTTCTTATAAAATTAATAATAATAGAAATTATGGAAATATGATTGAGAGATTCGATTTGACTTTGGGTTTTATTTTTATGTTATGTACATGCATATTTATGTTCCACCACGACCTCTCAATTATTGTGACTGACTAATACTTGTAGGGTGTGTTTGTCTGGCATTTGGATTTTGAGTTGGGATTTGAATAGTAAAATTTTTAAATTTGAATAGTTGTATGATGTGATATAAATAGACGTTAGATGTGATGTTTTGAATATAAAATTGATTTTTAGTATAATATAAAAAATGAAAAAATAGGTGTTTGATTTTATACTTTTGGGGAAAAAAAATTGGATGAATAGTGTAAATCCAATCCAATCCCCCAAACAAACACACCCGTATTGTATTGTATGTATCCCTGATTATTAATACTTCATTATATTTTGAATATATTAAGGTAGATATAAAAATTTAGGTAAAATATAATTATTAAATAATTAATAAATATATTAGTAAAAATAATTATAAATTAAGATAACTAAATAGTTTATGTAAACTTTAAAAAATTATGAAATTTAAAATTTAAAATGTGATTAAAATGAATAATTATATTAAAGAAAAAGGAAAAAACAAGTTACGTGGGAGACGAAAATAGAAAATAGAGACAGATCAGGTAAAATTGAGAAAGTAATTTATTGGGTTGGGTTTGGTGAAATTGGACTGGAAATATAACCCTTAATTGACTAATATTTAGATTAAATTAAATTCTAGTTGGTGTTTGTTGAAGCGTTTGTTTCGTTTGTGTTTGAAATTGAGATTTTGATACGATATTTGATTTAAATAGTATTTTAAATAATACTTTATAAAAATAAATACTATTCCCTCCGTTTCAGATACCGTGTCTGCTATATTGTGTATACTGTAGACACAGTATTTTAAGAGGGATGTAATTAGTAGATAATTAATAATATATTAGTAAAAATAATTATCCTATAATATAAATAATTATAAATTAAGATTAAGATAACTAATTAGTTTAATTAAAATTAAAAAAATAAAATTAAAAAATTTAAAATAAAATTAAAGTGCGTAATATTTTCCAAAAAAAGAAAGTGACATGCTAGGTGGGACGGACAGAAACGGCAATATGAACATGATATCTGAGACGGAGGAAGTATGTTTTATTAAAAATGGTACAAAATAAATAGCGTGAATTGTGATTTGAAATCACAAAAGAACAAATTTTTGGATATATTTGTTCATGGATTTGATTTTTGGATATGAATTTTGAATAGTAAAAATTTGAATATTAATAATTGTTTGATGCGATAGAAATAAATATTGACGTGATGTTTTAAATATAAAATTAATTTTTAATATAATAAAAAAATAATTATTTAATTTAAAATTTTTGAAGGATAAAAAAACTGAGCAATTCACATTTATGCAAAAGAATCAAGAACAAAGTAGATGAAAAGAACATAGAGTGAAAGCAGAGAGTTTTTCACTTGTATATTGTAGCCTTTAGAAGTAGTATTTATCTACAAAGAATGTAATTAGTAGATAATTAAGATTGTATTAGTGAAAATAATTATTCTATAATATAAATAATTATAAATTAAGATTAAGATAACTAATTAGTTTAATTAAAATTAAAAAATTTAAAATGAGATTAAAGTCTGTAATCATTTTCCAAAAAAAAAAAGTGACATGGTATATGGGACGGACAGAAACGGCAACGTGGACATGGTACCTGAGATGGAGGGAGTATTATTCAACGAAGGAAAAAATAAACTAAACAGTAAAAATATTATGAAAATTCTACAAAAGAACACAATTTTATATTTTATATCAATTTCTTAGTATTATTTTTTTGCGTCTATCAAATTTATTTAGAGTTATTTATATCAATTTCTTAGTAATCTAAAAATTGTTTTTGAAAAACTCAAATTAAATATCACATTATATAATTAATTAGGGCGCAACCAGAACTTAGTTGAGGGGCTAATTTTTTAAAATAAAAAAAAAATACAATTATATTTAATTTATATATATAAAAGGGTATATTTTATTTATTTTCGTGTAATTATATTTTCGAATTACATTTTAAAAATTATGCTAACTAAGATGTTGGTTAAAATTAATTATTACTCACTAGATTGTAATATGATATGCACAATATATCTTTGTTGGAAATTTTTAAAAATATTGACAAATAATAATTACATATTGTAGATACATTTTTTATATTGTTAAAATTGACAAATAATACATTTATTTTTTTTTTAAAAAAAATTACTTTAAAAAAAAATCAGTAAAGTTATTTCAGTATTTTTTATTATTTTCTATTAATTTTTATATTATATATACATGCATTAAATAAAAAAAAATTAAAAAAATTAGTGGGGTGGGGTGAGGGGGCTACATCCCCCTTGCCCTACTATAAATCCGTCATTGTAATTAATCATGTATAGTATCGATTATAAACTAGTAAAAAATATTTAAATTATTAAATAATTGAATTTGAAATCTACAACCAATTTTGATGATTTAAAATTCATCGAATTTGATAAAATTATATAAAATACCTATATTAAAATTCCTTCATAGGCCTTATTTGATTTGGTATAAATCTAAATACGGAAAGAGATATATCCAAGAGATTGAGTTTATTTTGAGATTTTTTTTTACCATTTTTTTTTTTTTTTTTGCCTTTTATCATTTTTATTTTTTAAATCAAATCAAGCTTTAAAGTTTCATTTTATATTATATTAAAAATTAATTTTATATTTCGTATCAGCGTCTATTTAGTTATATATATCACATATTAAAAATTAATTTTATATTTTGTATCAATGTCTATTTATCTATATATATCACATAATTATTTTAGTTTAAAATCTTATTATTCAATAAATCAAAAAATGAATTTGTTTATCCAACTATTTTTTATCCAACGTATTTTTCAATATATATAATGTATATTATATATTCTTATAAAAAATCAACAAGTAATTTAATATATTATTTTTTTATATCATGGATATAATTCTCAATATTTAATATAAAAAAAGCCAAACTAAAATATTAAATAAATAAACAAAAAGTATCCAAACAAAACCAAATCTCCAAACAAACACACCATGGTTCTTTTTATAAGATAAATACACATGTTTCTAAAAACAAATTAATATACTACAAATATTCATTATTTTTATGCTCCATCCGTCCCAAAAATATAGTTTTAATTGGGTTGAACACGAGATTTAAGGAATATTGATACTATATTGGTAGTTGGTAAAAAGTATAGATAAAAGTTTTTTTTGCTCTTGTGAGTGTATTAGTGTAAAAAGTAGTGACAATTGTGTAATAAAAATGAAAAAATAGGGATAGTTTTATGGTGATATGGTTATTTATGAAAAGAAGAGATGGACAAAAATGATAAATAAGACTATTATATTGGGACAGGGTATTACTTAAGTAATTCTTTATATTTCACATAAAAAAAATATCACAAACAAACACACCCTTAAGAGTTTTAGAAAATGTTAAAAATAATAGAATAATCAGTATGTCTTTAGTTGTGAGGATTTAATTTTGGATTTTAGTTTTTTAATACTCTCGGTCCACTAGTAAACTCTTTATTTGGTTTTTATAATGTTCAAATCAAAATTGTCTATTTTCTTTTTTAAAAAAAGTTAATTCTAAACTAAATATCAAAATACTTTTATTTTTTACCTTTTAAGATAAAATAGACACTATATTAAACTCCATCTGTCTCATATTTATATATTCATTTACTTTTTACACGGAGTTTTAGGAATATTAGTATTATATGGAATGTAGTATAAATAAATATAAAAAGACTAAAATGCCCTTATTAGTATTGTATGATATAAAAGTAATGACATTTGTGTAATATATTGTAAATTAGAAGAGTATTTGTAACAGTTACTGAAAAAGGAAATGGATACTTTGTTTTTATTAACTAGTGAAAGTGTGTAAGATGTTTTATATTTTTTGACTTTATGTAAAATTGTATGTGTAATTGTATGTTTGTAATTTAGATAAAAATTAAAAGTATTTTGGTATTGATGCATGATTACTTTTCTTAAAATAAAAAATAAATATTTTGAAGTGAAATAAATAAAAATAATAAAAATGGTACTTTGAATCATGACGAATAATTAAATACTATAAATAATAAAAAATAAAAATATTTTTACAAGATATTTTTTTTTATCAAAAAATGAAAAAAAGAGCATTGTTACGCTAAGTTATAGTTAAACCACAGAAGTTTGTTGGTTAGGCATAAGTTGGGTAAGAGAGAGGTTTCTGAGACAGGAAGGAATCAGTTCCAATTTTGTTGGGGCATTTATTACAACGCATCCTCCCAATTCGCCTCTCGTTTCTCTACCTCTACGGTAATAAATAATAATAATAATAATAATAATAATAAAACACTCTAAAAATGACCCTACCTAAATAAAGCAAATCCCAACGAATCCTACCCCAATAATTAATTATTATTATTATTATTTTCATAAATAAAAATAATAGTACTATTAACAAATATTATCCAAAAATATATATATTAAAAAAAAAAAACCCCAACTGGGAAAGAAAAATGAGTGATAAAGAGTTATCAGATTTAAAACAAAAAACTCCCTCTCTGGTGACCCAACGTTTTTCTCGATGGTTTAAACGAGGAATCACCGCAGGATTCCCTATCCCACCGCCACGTGGCGGCATCTGGAGCAGGTCATACAGGCAGTTCCTGTCGGGCTGACCGCCTATAGCCGGTTGTAATAAACTGGGGTTTAAGCAATGGTGTGGGTGGAGGGGATGGATTCACTCACGGAATTGGGGTTTTTGGTTATCTATATATAAATCCATTCCTTATTACAATAAATTATTCATCATCAATTTTCTGGGCAGTCAAATTCTCCTGGGATTTTTGTGTTTTCTAGGAATTGTCAATGGCGTCCGACATGGATTTTTGCTTGTCCGAAGGTGAGATTGGGGGAATCTGTGAAAGTTTTGCAATTCTGATATTCTGTGTTCTTACAGTTTTTTTTTTGAATTGTCGGAGTTTCTGCTAGTTTGAATTGTGTGTCTGATCTTGGATCTTACCGTGCGGAGAACGAATTAATGTTGTCGTGATTTTTCGAATTTCATTTTATCGTATTGGTTTAAGATCATTTGTGGTTTGTAAAATTCAAATTCATTTTCTGCTGAAAATTCAATTAAATTGATGTATTGTGCGATTTGTTGATCTCTTACCTTAGCGGATTTCACGATGAAGGATGCCTGATTGTCTTCATCTTGCCTGTGTAATGAAGTTTTTAAGTGTTCGAATGTCGTCTTGAGGAAGGAACGCTTACGCTTTAAACTTCTTAAGATCTTCAATACCTTTTCTTAATTTTGCAGAAAATCGAAGCAGAGTTTTATCTTGATTTGTAGTAACAACATTGCATAAATCTGATCTTGTCTGAACGATCACTGTCTCAATAATTATGTTAAGAGTAAAATTAGTCGAAGAACTTCATGCTTCCATAAGATCGAAACACTTATTTCTTAGCAATGTATTGCTCGTCCTAATCCCTAATAATGTTCTGTTTCTGCTGTTGAATGATCGTTCTTAAGACAATCTAACAAACACTATGTTCGAATTCGACGATTTAATCTGCAGCATTGTAAGAACACCGGCGTATGTGTTGTCCGGAGCAAATTTATGGCGCTACAGAAGAGATTAAACTACGGATTCAACGGCTACGAGGCGCCGCCGATGCCTCGAGCCGCAAGATCAGTCCGGGTAACGATTAGATCGCGATCATCATCTACGGCCGAGATCAAATGTTCGAATTTTTACAAAACTAATCCATTGTTTCCTTACAGAAACGGTCCGTATTCAAGCGAAAACCCGACGATCGCAACATGTGCGCCGCGTTCGACTTGCTGGCAACTGTCGCCGGGAAATTGCCGTCGACGAACACTTCTCCCGCCAAAAAGGACGCGTCCATCGAAGACGATAATCCGTTCGTCGAAAAGAGTCGAGAATGGAACTTTCTGGTGACGGAGCTCGTTCGTAAAGCTCCCGATACGAAAGAACTCGTCTCCGCCCCTGTTTCTGTCGTTACGTCTTCCGATTGCTCGGAAAAGCTCGGTTCTTCCGAGCAGTTGGTTAACGACGACTGCAAGCTCAGCCTCGGGATTTTTCCTGCGGCAGATAACGGTGTCGATTCGTCGAGCTTTAATAAAGTGTCTCGTGGGTCTGTCCCGTCCCGTCGGGACGATGTGAAATTAGGTAATAGCGACGATGACGAAAACAGTTCCGAGTGCGCCGGAAAGAACGACTTCAAGCGTATACGATCACAACGCGACTATCCTTTCAAAAAACGGAAGCTTTATAGTAGTAGCTCGACGTCGAATTTCAACGAAGGCGTCGGCTGTCGACAGCACGAAATTGACGCTAGTGAAGGCGCGCTCGGTTCTAGTTCGTCGGGAGGTGAATTTTCATCCTTATTTCATTATGTTTTCGTCGAAATTCCGGGCTTTTTCTTACGCATTTTTTCGTTTTCACAGTGAAGCTTAAGATCAAGTCGTTTAGAGTTCCCGAGTTACTCATCGAGATACCCGAGACCGCGACCGTTGGGTCTCTAAAGGTACAAAGAATTTTTCAATCCAGTTCGATAAACGTTCAATTAATATCGATGGTCGTAATATCGCGCAGAGAATGGTCTTGGAAGCCGTAGGTTCTTTGCTCGGCGGCGAGCTACACGTCGGAGTTCTTCTTCAGGGCAAGAGGATTCGAGACGATAACAAAACGTTACTCCAGACTGGAATTTCTCGCGAAAGCAACACGATCGATGCCCTCGGGTTTACGCTCGAGCCGAGCCCCCCGACTGCTGCTTTAATCCAATCCAATTGTCCCGACAAAGCGCTGATCGAACATCCAAAACCGTTGGCGAGGTATTCTCTGTAATAATCGGAGTTGTCGATTGGATGTCGTATCATTACGACATGTCGCGTTTTGTCGATGTTTAGGTACCTGGAGGCTCCAAGTACGAGTCGAAGCACTTTGCAGCAGCCCGACACTCGACTGGACCTTAATTTGTACAATTCGACGGGTACGTTTCATGACTGGCCGTTGTCGCAGAAAATTGGCTCTGAATCGAAGGCACTTGTCCCTGTAATGAAACATGCTTCTTTGCGGAAATCCAAGAGGTCCGAGTCCGCGCAGCGCAGAATCCGTCGACCATTCACAGTTGCTGAAGTGGAAGCTCTCGTCCAGGCCGTCGAGAAACTTGGAACGGGAAGGCATGGACTCGTCGACTCGCGACACTTATTTTCTTATACTTTGTTTGATTGTGTGCGATAAAATTGCTTTCGATATTGCAGATGGCGCGACGTTAAGCTAAGGGCGTTCGACAGTGCGAAGCATCGAACTTATGTGGATTTAAAGGTAAGAGATCAATAGACATACTAAGAATGAGTTTTTTGTTCAGTGTAGATCTTTGAGTATTAATTATTATATCAATATATAGTACAAATTAAAAAAAAAATGACAAAATAAACCTCTATTAGTTGTAAAATAAATTATATAAATATAAGAATATTTTTATCGTTAAATACAATGACGTAGAAAAACAAATAGTGTCATTTTTATAGGACAGAAGTAGTACAAAACATGCGGTATGTATTGTCCGAACTATTATCATTTGCTGCATTTATATTATATTAATGTAAACTTTGTGCTGTTAAATATTGTAACAGCGCAATCTCTCATAAAATATCACATCAAATATTAAATTTTTAGTTCTTTTAAAAAAATTTCGATCTAAATGACAGAGACTCTCAATGCAGGATAAATGGAAGACGTTGGTGCACACGGCGAGAATATCGCCGCAGCAGAGACGGGGAGAGCCGGTGCCGCAGGAGCTGCTGGACCGGGTGCTGATGGCGCACGCCTACTGGTCGCAGCAGCAGCAGCTGCGGTCGACTAATCCCGACGCCTGCCGTCTTCTTCTTTGATCGATAATTAATGCGAAAATAGGTATTCGATAATATCGATGGATGGATGTGTAAAAAAGGAGCTGTGAAGTGAAAGTGTGTGTTTCTTGGAGGAGCAGCAGCAGCTTACGATTCTTTGATGTTCATTTCTGTTGTATTTAAAGTTCATTTCTTTCTGGGTTTGTTTGTATAATATTAATACATACAGATACATACATATACATGTTCTCGTACTTCTTGTAGAGTTGTTAGGGTTGGATCATGAATATATATATATATGTTTGTTTGTTAGGCCTTGTAAGGAAAATAATAATTATAATAATAACAATTATTGAGCTTTTTTTTCCTAAGATTTATCTCTTGAATTTTATTATTTGGAGTTTGTGTATTTTATTTATTTTTATTTGTATTATATAAAATTTTATTCTTATATTGATATTTCGGGTGTGTTTGTTTGGGGGTTTGAATTTTGAATTGGAATTTGAATAGTAAAAATTTTGAATTTGAATAATTGTATGACGTGATATAAATAGGTGTTGATGTGATGTTTTGAATGTAAATAGGTGTTTGATTTGATATTTTTAGAGGAAAAAAATGGGATGAATAGTAGAAATTAAATCTAATCCTCCAACCAAACACACCCTTCATATATTTTTATTAAAATATAATCTTAAAAATATTTAAAATACAAACAATATTACTCATATAAAAAATAATATTAAAATATAATTATAAAAATATTTAAAGTAGCAAAAACATTAGTCAATTTACTGTCGATGGATTGTGATGTCATTGCATTTAAAATAATTTAAACATTGTCGATTTATATAGTTGAAAATTAGTTTTATATTTTCATTAAATTGTATTTTTAAAATATCATATTTAAAATATATTTTCTTATGATATTCGGAAATTGAGTAAAATTTTAAAAATTGATTAAATTACTTATGTCATAATATATACATAATTTTTTATTTTAGATCATTAAATATACTTACAGGGAGTAGACATGCTCCTCGCTTGACCAATGCCTCACTTGGTCGCTTCGTTCGATACCACAGTCAAGATCCGCTCTGATATCATAAATAACGGTCCGAAAGCTGACATGTCCGGCTCTTAGGTCACACTCTCAACGAGGCCCAGACCAGCCGTCTCATGTGCGCAACAAGTCCGGGATATTCCATACAGTATGAAAAAATAATGCTAAACACGTACCTGCACCAAGATATACGTCATCACTCAGCCGTACAGGACAGGAGCTCGCACACATGGAACAAACTATGGCCGAGAATCTAGGCAGGAATGTCAACCCGTGACAATACTCTCTCACTTCAAGTCGCAAACGTCCTCGTGTGACGCTACTTAAGTGCACTGACGTTGTTTCTTGCACCCTCGGTATACATCCGACGTCACTCCATTGACCCTTATTTGCGTACCCCCCCTCTTTATGTTAACCAATAGCCAGCGAGATCTTTTTCCATAGACAAACCACATGCGATCTGCGTTCCTCCTGCATCTCCGCACACCATCCGGGACATCATTTGTTACGGCTTGTGCGATTTTTACCTGAAGATCGTCCTTAACGTGATTTTTTCCTAACATATCCCCACTCTTTGTGCTCACTAATAGCCAGCGAGGTCTTTTGCCATAGACAACCCACATGCGATCCATGTTCCGCTGCGCATCTCCGCGCATCATCCAGAACATCCTTTGTTGCGGCTTGTGCGATCTTCTCCCGAAGATCGTCCTTAATGTGGTTTTTTCCTCCCGAACAAAGCTCGAGCCTCTTGGCCGTTCAGCCACGTCGAACGTACTCCCCACCGTGGGAGCACTCCTCTTTTGGAATGTCCAGTTCCCTTAGGACATGTTCATCATTGATGTGCCCACAGACATGCTATTTCCCCGAGCAATGATAGTAAAAAATGAAATTCCATAAAAAAGGAATTAAGTAGATAACTAAAATAGATTTTTGGGTAAACTTTTTTTAGTCTCGTAACTGGACTATTTTATCATTTTAGTTCCGTAAGTGGAGCCTGTTGCAAACTAGTTCCATAAGTGAAAAATTTTCGCTGTTTTAGTCATCCGGTGCCGGAGACGCCTGCGTGGCTCGCCGGAGGTGACGTGTCCGCCAAGTTAGCGACACCTGGCGGACACGTGGATTTTTTTTTCTTCATTTTTTTTAAAATTTTTTTTAATTGGACCAAATAAAAAAAATAAAAAAATACAAATAAAATTAAAAATAAAGTTTTTAAAAAAATTTTTAAAAAATGAAATAAAAAAATAAAAAAAAATCCACGTGTTCGCCAGGTCAGCGACACCTGGCGGACACGTCACCTCCGGCGAGCCACGCGGGCGTCTCCGGCGCCGAAGGACTAAAACAACGAAAATTTTTTTTCACTTATGGAACTAGTTTGCGACAGGCTCCACTTACGGGACTAAAATGATAAGGGGTCCAAATACGAGACTAAAAAACAGTTTACCCTAGATTTTTTGTTCGGTAAAATAGAGAATTTAGTTGAAAAATATAAAAATAATACAACGTATATATTGATAGTTAAAAAAAAATATCGAATCATTAAAATAAATTAAATAAAAAAAATTAATTTATTTTTTAGTTTGATAATTTATTTTAATAATAATTTAGAGATAATATTTTATGAGATTTGAAAATATAAAAATTAAACAATAGTAAAAAAAATAATAAAAATAATAATAAAATAAACAAAAACTAAATCATAAAAATTAAATATAAAATAATAAAAAAAATAAATATATAAACATTCGTGCAGTCTCCGTTTAGCACTCGCCAATGTGTGCGAATGAGAACAAATATTCTGAAATGACTTGTATTAATAAATTCTAAAATTTTGTATTAATGAATTCTAAATTTTAATGGATAATTTTAATTACTTATGGTAAGGGACAATTAAGACGGACACCAATAATAAAATAAAATAAAATAAATATGGAAATGAGTGAGTATAACATTCCAAATTAAAAATAAAAAAAAATTGTGAAAGTAGTAATAGTATTGGAGATCACAAAATCCTTCTGAATTAAACTGAACTATTCATATATTTTATTAAATCAAAATACTATTCAAACAAAAATTCAAATATAAGCTTCAATTTCAAATTCAAATTAATTTCAAACCACGGACAATTTGGATTAAAAACATATACATACAATTAAAAACTCGTAGAAAAGAATGTCCGGGCAAAACTTATCTAACAAAGTTCTTATTCCCTACAACTTAGAATGTCCTCGAAAAGAGCACACATCGAAAAATATCACTTCTATTTAAACAGAAATACATCGAGAAGGAAATGTAATAAGATTACTTCTAAACATACAGATGCCGAGGCCGGCTTAGGGGATAGTTCTTTGTTGCCCCAAGAACGCAGTCCGGTAATATTAAAAATCAACTGCAGCATGTCCGAGATTAGAATTATTACCTTATACAGACAGATCGGGATATTGCCAGGGACTGAAATCTGTTGACTTGACATCAGTCGTGTCATCAGAGTTGGAGGAGTCGACTGCCCGCCGATGCTCTGTGTACTTGCCATTGTAGCGGAATATCTCCAGGTCGCCCCACGGGGTGGGTGCAGTTTCATCAGTCAGATCAAACCATTTTGGGGAGAACTGTTCGCCTTTTGCTTCCCGGTGTCGCTTTTCAGCCCTCTGTCTCTCCTCCAAACTAAAAAATGCACACAATTAATGAATAGTTCCGGAAGAATTTTCCCCTAAAAAATATCAAATCAAACAATTACTATAAACTTATTTTATATTCAAAATATCAGATCAATCTTTATATATATCACATCAAACAAGTATTCAAATTTAATTTTTTTACTATTAAAAAATTCAAACTCACAAACAAACACACCCAAAAGGTTTCTTTTCGATTGAGACGATATAAGGATGCATGCGTAACAAAATTTTAATATAGAAAATTGGCAAAGTTACTTATAATTAGAGCTCTTAAACAAACTTAGTAGGTTGCAAGCCAAGCTCGACTCGTTAACAGCTGAACTTGGCAATGAGCTCGAGCTCAGCTTGCGGAGGTAGCTCGATTGATCTAATTACTTCGTTAGTAATTGTATTATTTTATAAATTGATAGTATAATATATATGTATAAATTTTTATGTCAAAATTTACATTTACTAATAAAGTTTGAATATATTATTATAATAAATTGTGAATATAGTTATATTTACTTAATTTATATTAAAAAATATATAATATAATGAAATTCAAGTCAAACTTGAGCTCGAGCTTTAAATCAAGACTAACGGGCTGAGCTCGAGCCACCATTTTAGTTCAAATTTTAAACAAGCCGAGTCGATGATGTCACAACTTATTTAACAGTTGTACTAACAATCTACCTGTGATTTGAAAATTTTTAAAAATTCTCCTTCATCATAATTTAAAACCTGTATGATGTTCCCTTGTGTTTTGGAAAATGCATGAAACTCTACAATGTTTTTTAAAAGATGTCACAAAATTCCCTTTTAGTTTTAGAAAACACAAGGCCGTATCATACAATTTTTAAATCATGGGAGAAAATGGCAAAGACTTTCCAAACATTGATAGTTTATATGCAATTTTGTCTAGAAAACTTTCTGGTTAGAATATATGGTGCAAAATTTAAAGTTCTGTACGCCCAGCCAAGCTGTAGAAAATACGACATTGTAAAATTGCAGGCAACATGTGACTAAACATGGACGTGTAACTAAGATAATCGGAAACATGGCCATATGGTTAAGTGCAAATGTGTACCTGCTTTTTGCAGTACCAGCTTTGGACAGATCACCCTTCTCAAGTTCCCATCTATCAGGACGTAATCGTGAATCTGATGCCAACAACTTCTTGGGTGCAGTGTCGAAACTGTTTATTTTATGTGCAAAATAGGTGAACTGATATTTGTCATCTGGTGGAGATTCTGCAACATGCCAAACCTGCAAAAACATTTCTCATAGTCATATAGAAGTCGGTAAACAGCAACACTACAAATTTTCCAAATCAGGGTACATCTTTAATCAGACATAGGAAGTAGCAAGTATAGCTCGAAGCACAATAATTATTCATTAACCGTTTGTTTGTAAGAACAAAAGAAGATAAAGAGGCTTTGTACATGTAAAACCCAATGATAAAAATTATACACAAGTACACATTAACGCGTACACTTTTCACTTAAAACCCAATAATTATTCAGCTTCTGTAAGATATTTGTGCAGTATCGTTCTTAATAATTTACTCCCACAAATGGTCCGCCGAATGACTTTTTTTTAATATTTACCTAAATGTTTGCTCCGATACCAATGTCAAGCCAAATTGAACTAGTGTAAATGTGTCAATTCTACACATATACCATCACCAAAAAGATGCAAGCTACTAACAAATATATCATTGACACAAGGTGCAAAACAGCTAACAAATATTTCGTCATGACAAAATGCAAGTCAACTAAGGAGTAGAAATGGATGGCGGTGCACTCACCTCTTTCAATTCTGTACCAGGGAGAGGTTCTCCTTCTGAATCACAGGGTTGATAGCTCATCGACTCACTCCATTTGCCAGTCATCAATATTTTAGGTTCTTCCTCAGCATTATATATATATCCATCCACCTCGTATCTATTAGCCCTGCACACCATAATGACCATAATAACACCAGAAACAATGGTGAATCAATTTCATAATAACAAACATTAACTAGAGGTAGAGATGAATAAATGAGTCATATGGATTATACTTCAGAATATGTCTAAAATTCTAGACACTTGTAGTATCCATACAGTTTATCACGAATCACAATTCCACCAAGCAATTAGAAACTGGCTTATTTATGAAAAAATATATCCTCCTTCACACAGCTACAAGAATCACTTAAAGGCGAATAACAATGACGAGAATCAAGATCACAATCACAAGTACAAATAGTTCTTTCACATTCTAGCACTAGAAAATCATTTTAATCACATGGGAATGTTTACCATAAAATTCTAGAATTCGCAAAGTGATAGGACAGAAAACAAGGACTAACGGAAACATGAATTCAATCCAAACAAATAGTGTTGAAAGTGAGACAATGTATCCATAAAATAAAATAAACATTTTGAAATATAAAATAAAAATGAAAACAATAAAGTGAATGTGGGAGAAATAAAAGAAGTTAAATACCCAAACCAACCACAAGGTTGAAAATAGAGAATAGCTTTATCCCCCGTAGTCAAATTTGTCATAACCATCTCTCCTGGCGAATCAATCCAGGTGCGACCGAAAATCAGATTGTTGACTTTGGTTGGAGGAGGTACAAGATCAAGGACCACACCATCTCTTTTAAGAACCACACGTGTTCTGCAGGGGGAAACCCAATAATTTTCGCACCAAATGAATATAGACGACTTCTTATTCTCATGCAAGATCCATGACATCAACATATGTAGTATTGTGGCAAGCATAAGGGCTTGACACAACTTACCTCCCAACTGGATAGACGTCAAGAGAGTTTCCTAAAAACTTTGTTCTCAACTTAGATGTCACATCATATGTGAAATGCTCATTTTCAGCATGGCCAGCACTCATCGGAGGATGGTGGCTCACCTATAAATCACAAACACTTTACATGAAATTTTGCCATGAGATGAGAATCCAGTGAACAATTTAAGGTCCCTGTCATTTTACATTTCAACTACTAAATTCCTCACAAAAAGTCATAATGCCGAACTCAATTGAATAAAGATGCATGGGATGGAAAGTTCACCTGCTCTGAGATAAACGTAATCCCTCCATGGTTAGCCATTTCATACGTCTCGCCAAGAATTGGATTGAAAGGCTTCCAGGTACGTTGGTAGGCAAAATATACGGATACAGCCCATGATGCTGCACCAAGTCACAAAATCAATTTGTGGGAATGCATTTCCGTCCCAAGATACCCATGTATTGATAATAAAAGTTCTTGTTTGTGCCCGTATTGAGTGCTGGTAGGGCATAAAGGAATAAATACTCACCCGCATACACCATTCGCATGTATGGATCTTCACATTTATCTGCTTGATCTAAAAGGTAAGAGTATTCCATTAACTGCCACAACAATGAACAAATGGCATCAGTCGAGATAAACATGTGGAATTTCCAGCTAGAGCTTTCAAGGAAAAACACAAACCTCGGCCATTTTCTGAATCATTGTCATTGGCTCAAAAATGATGACAGGGAGTGTCACCATCGAGGTCACATCAGAACCAATGTATTTTTGCATCATTTTCCAGTAGTTATCTCGCTCCTTTGCAAACAAAAGACATATCAGTATCAACAAGTACAAGGTTAGTAATTCTTACATAAAACATGCATATGATACGAGGATATGAAATTGAAAATTCTAAATAAACTGGTAAATCACTTTAACAAACTCAGATTTCAAGTTATGGAACATACTGCTTTCAAATTATAAGCAGATTTTATCAATCATTAAAGTTCATCATAAATGCAATGCGTAAACTTCCTAGATAGTGTGAATTGATTTAAAAAAACATCAACTACCTAAACATTAAACTAAAATATATTTTCCACATGCAAATAGGCAATAGAAAAAATTCTGATAAGCCAGAAAGTGGGTTGGTTTTAAATGCAACGACTAGTCTTGTATTCAACGGGGGCTGGATTCCTCAGGGGGCAACCTTTAACCATAAGAAAACACACCTCCTGCTTCCATCTTCCTCTTTGGGCTTCTTCTACCGCATCTTCTTTGCCTCCTTCAGGATTTATAACTTCAACCCCTTCATAACCAAGCAATCTAACACAAGGAAAATATCACAAATTCTTCCAATTAGATTTCCAGAGTGGAATGAGAAAAGAATCAGCTAAAATGGAATATCCATATGAAACTAAACCAAGAAACTTCATATTCAGATGAATCAAATTAAATGTGTTCTAGCATGCCTTCATGCCTCTAAACCAAATTCAATCCCTTGAAATTAGCATGTGAGAAATGGAAATGGAAATGTTATATTACTGGAAGAAATTTCTTGAAAAGTCGAATACATAATTGCTTAGCCATTTTTGTAAGATGCTATTGGAAATGTTATAAAGTATAAATATCAAATTAGGCTTCAAACCAATCTCTATCTCTACACAAGAAATGAACCTAGCTGTTCGTAGAAGGGTAGAATTATATAAATATCTTGCACTTAACAATTCCTTTCTCTGAGTTAACCTGTCCCGGGAATTTTCATACCTTTTCATTTAGGCTGTTTATTTAGGGTTTGTTTGTTTGGGGGTTTGGATTTTGAGTTGGGATTTGAATAGTAAAAATTTTGAATTTGAATAATTATATGATGTGATATAAATAGGGGTTGATGTGATGTTTTAAATGTAAAATTGATTTTTAGTATAATATAAAAAATGAAAAATAAGTGTTTGATTTGATATTTTTTAGGGGGAAAATTGGGATAAATAGTAGAAGTCCACAAAAATCCTTCAAACAAACACACCCTTAATGCTAACATGGCTCCTTTGTAATGCTTTCTCCAAAAACTATGAACAATATATTACGAAGTGCTTTCCATTTTTATCAGTATTTTACAGTATTCGGTAACACACAAACTTTAAGAAGAATCTTTTATTTAATTGGCCTCTTATCCAATGAAATGCTCATCAACAGTTCCTCAACAAATTGAAGAATTTTATTTTCAACTATGTTTTCAATTCATCATCAGTTACCTTCTAAAAAAATAGTATCATATAAAATACCTACTTTTTATTTAAAATTAAAAAATTATCCTCTATTCAAAGTCACATCAATAGCCTATTTGTGTCACAACACTTCCAAAATATATTTAAAAACATAATTTTTACACAAAATTTCTCCTTCCGAAAAACATCAATCTCATAACCTATTTATATCACATGAACCACCGAGTTTCTATATAACTTTCCCCTATTCCAAAATCAAACTCAAAACAACAAAACACTCCCAAATCATATAATAAAACACACCCATAATATTTATACATCAATGTATTCTACCTGCATACAGTTCAATAACTTTAAATTCGTCCATTAGCACCAAAATAGCTATAGTTTAACATTAAGATCGGAATTTCCTTTACTTCTTCAATCATATGGCTATCCAATAAATTCCTAGTCGATTAAAAATAGAAATTCCAAATTCAACCTAAAATATGGCACCACAGTTAAAAATATGTTTATATAATAATAATAAAAATAAAAAATCCACACACAGATAAAGCTAATCAAATTGAAGACGAGCAAAATCATCAACGAAAAAGAACGAATCCTGCACTCAAACACAACGGTGCTTACCCGTTAACAGATCTATGCATGGCGTTGCCGAACATAGACAGCCCTGATGTCATGGCCGCGAAGAAACCCCCTTTCCCTTGATTCTCCCCCGGAGTGCCCATCGTCTTCCACAAGATAGAATTCAAATCAATCCCAAAATGCACGAACTCAAATTACGACGATCACGAATCCATAAATTAATTAATTCCCCAAATTATTTCAAGCCCTAGTACAACAACAGGCTCGGAACCCTAATTCGATCAATTGGCGATATGCCCGAGGTCTGGACTGGAGAGATCAAAATTCAAGAAAGATAAATAATAAAATCAGGCGTCGAGAAATAAACTATACATGGCAAATGTGGAAATCCGCGGTTCGAGTGAGCTATATCTTCTCTTAGCTTGGGAGCGTGAGGCAACTCTGCGGCCCTGAACGTTGATTCAGATGATTGAGACCTTATATGCGCGCGTTGGCTCATTGCTTTCTAAAGTGCGTTAAGAACATAAATTACTGTTATAATAAAAATAAAAATAAATTAAAATTAAAATAATTAATTATTTTAATTAAAATTTTAAAAAAATAAAATTAAATTAAAGATGAAATTGAAAAATGTGAATATTATAAGTTTGACAGAGAAAGTAGTATATTTTAATAATATTATATAAAAATTATTTTTAAAAAATTAGTGTTCTTTTAAAAATATATATAGCAAAAATATTAATATATTATATATATTCATTATTTTTCATACTTTATTTAAAAATATATATATTTAAATTATTTCACATAACAATACTTACTTTTCATCTTTATTTTGATATTTTTTTTTTTTAAGTAATTGTATGTATAGTGATAGATTGTTAATTTAAGTAAAAATTAAGGTATTTTGATATTAATATATAATTATTTTTTTAAAAAATTATAAAATAAATAATTTGAAATGACAAATGAAAATGATAAAATATGATACTTTGAATTTGAACTGAAAAAGTATTTTTTATTTTTTATTTTTTATTATAAAAAATAAAAATTATAGAATTATACTTAGGGTGTGTTTGTTTGGGGGTTTGGATTTTAAGTTGGGATTTGAACAGTAAAAATTTTGAATTTGAATAGTTGTATGATGTGATATAAATAGGTGTTGATGTGATATTTTGAATGTAAAATTTATTTTTAGTATAATATAAAAAATAAAAAACAGATGTTTGATTTGATAGTTTTGGGAAAAAAAACGAGATGAACAGTGGAAATCTAATCCAATCCCCAAACAAGTTTCAAAAAATTAAACATATTTTTTTACAGACAAACATAAAATAAAAATATTATAAAAAATTAATGAAAAAAAACAAAATAATAATAAATTGATTACAAAATAAATTTAATAAACAATGAAAAATTAATATAACTATTTGGTATGAAAAGAATATGAAATAATCCCTCCCTCTTATATCTATATATTCATTTCCTTTTTGCACGGAGTTTTAGAAATATTAGTATTATATTGGAATAAAGTAGAAATAAAGGTAAAAAGACTAAATTAACCCCTATTAGTATTGTATGATATAAAAGTAATGATATTTGTGTAATATATTGTAATTTAGAAGAGTATTTGTAATGTAGATAGATAGTACAATTACTAAAAAAAATAAATAAATACTTTGTTATGAGACGGACCAAAATAGAAAAATAGATAAATTGTTAAGGGATGGAGAGAGTAATAAGGTGACAGTGATATATTTTTAGAGTTTTGAAATTTGAAAAAAAATTAAAAAGTAAGTATATTGTTGAATATTTTATTAAAATATATATATTAAATTTGATTTTTTTTAAAAATAAAAAATTAAATATTATCAACATCTTCAAAAATATTGTATAAACAGTCCCAAAAGTTTTAAAAACTTTGCCATATAAACAGTGATAGATGAAACTGTAGATTAATAGATCGTTTCGAAATGTTATATACATCATATATCTCAGTCGGGATCAAGTAAAAACTATGGATTTTTAACAAGCTAACGCTACTACATCCATTTCGTTGCGGATTAATGTATGTATATATTAGGTATATATATCTTTGAACATTGGGTCAATGTCTGTATATATTATAGTGATCAAACCTAACTCATCAATAAAATATTATGTTCACAAAAAGAGTTCTTTTATTTTTTTATTTTCGTTCGTCTCAAAACAATTATCTTATTTTTTTATTTAGTAACCGTAGTCCCTATTATACAATAAAATTATTCATGCTTTTTTCAAAACCATCCCTAATTATAATTTTATCGACTTCTTTCAACTATTTATATCTATTCATTTCAATTTAATACTATTATTCATTAGATTCTGTGGCATTTCCTAATAAAATATTTATTTTAGGACAGACGAAATAACTTTTAATTTACTATAAAAAAAACAAATAAAAAAAGAATAAATTATATAACACCCCTTGTATTTTAGTAAAAATGCACAAAAAAAATCTTGTTTTTTATTTATTGCATGAAATTCCTTTATGTTAATATAAAGTTTGCATGAAACACCTTCTTTGTCCAAAATTAATGTTTGATTCCAAATAAAGAAAATTGATGTTTGATTCACCTAAATTACGCAAATTTTATATAAATAAAAAATGTAAAATATGTTAAATAAATTTTTTGAATAAAATAAATAAATAAATAATTCTTCATTTTATACTTTTTTAAGATAAATTATTATCTAATTTTTACAAAAATTGTAAAAATAAATTATTGATCAATTATTTATTTATTTATTTATTTTATTCAAAAAAATTATTTAAGATATTTTACATTTTTTATTTTTATAAAACTTGTATAATTTAGGTCTTTATTTAGAAACGAATATCAATTTTGAACAATGAGGGTATTTCGTGCAAATTTTACATTAATGCAGAAAAATTTCACGCAATAAATAAAACACAGAGTGTTTTGTGCATTTTTAGTGAATCGAATCATGTTGTCCCATTGCTAGCACATAAGTTCAATCATATATATAATTTAACGAGCAAGTTGCTATGATTAAAAAAATGATTTCCATTTAATTTGAAAGCTACATTTAAATAAAAAATGACCATATGCATAAAATTATATATACCAAAAGTTGAAATGAAGCCCTATAAATTCAGATTAAATTTAATGTTTTGATGCACCTCAGTTCCATCTTTTCATCTGTTGTTTTTCTTTGTATCATTGTTCTTGGTTCATATTCTTAATTTCTTCAAACCCACCCCACCCCCTCCCCCCCCCCCCCCCCCCCCCCCCCCAAAAAAAATAAAAAAAGGAAGACCCTTCTGCTCCAATCAATTTTTCAAGGAAGTGATCTTATTGAGGTAATTAATTTGTTTATTTACTCACAACTTTTTGGGTTTGCCTACTGAATTTTTTTTCTTCTTTTAAGATAAAAATAGTTGTGTTATTTTTATGGAAAATAATTATTCGATATAATATTTTTTAGATAATAATAATAGAAAATAATAATAACTCCAAGTGAATAAACTCTTTTTATTTCTTATTAATCAACCGGAGATTAATTTAATTTTAATTAATTTGCTTACAGTGTCATTTTTTGGTTTTGATTTGAATTTGAGTTATTTTCATTTTAAGTTTAATTAAATAATATTTTAATACAATATTTGTGGAAAAATAATATATATTTATTGATTTTTGTTTTTTTTCATAGAATATTAATTTTAGTTTTAAAAAAAAATCCTAAGGGTGTGTTTGTTTGTAAGTTTTAGGTTTTGGGTTTGAATTTTTGAATAATAAAAAGTTGAATTTGAATAGTTGTTTGATGTGATATAAATAGAGGTTGATGTGATATTTTAAATATAAAATAAATTTGTAATATAATATAAAAAAAAAAGTAATTTTTGATGTTATATTTTTTGAAGTAAAAAAAAAAAAATTGAATAGTAAAAATCTATGATAAAATCTACCGTACCAACGACATAAGATATGGAAAATAAATAACTGTTATATTGGACTTGTTTGGTTTGAATCAGTATAATAATTGTCTGAAATGTTTGACTTTACATGGTAATAATTTGATATTATATTATATGAATGAAATAATCTATTTTATAAGAAATAGTGTCTGATATTATTATTATTTTATAATAAAAATAATTAGAAACGATTATTAATGTTATCATACAAAATTTATTTAATGAGATTTTTTTTTTCTTTGGAATCTGCAATCATTATTTGACTGAGTGTAATCTTGACATGTCGAAGGTTTGAACTCACGGTCATAAGTTTACCTCTATATTTCAGGTTATTCTTTACGGACTAATGAAATCTTTTTGTTGAACTAATAAGATAAGGTTTATATACTAATTGGTTTGAACTTTATTTTTGTTGTTTGTTTGTTTTTGTTAAAGCTCCAAATATTTATTTACAAGGTATGGTTGGTTATTTCGTTTGAATTGATTTGAAATGAAATGTTAAATTTAGATTTTTATTAAAATTGCATTTTTATATGACATTTTATGAGAGAAAAAAAAATATAATTATTGAAAATCATGCAAGATGAATAGTGTTACGTCGATTTGAAATAACAAAAGAACAAATCTTTCAGAACACAACAAAATGAACACCAAAAGTTTTCGAAAAAGATATTCTTTACTCTATAAGATAATTTTTGGGGGAATGGTTAAGGTGTACTGATTTGGAAAAATAAACATTGTACTAAATTAGCACACGTATATATACAAACAACATACGTCCTTACTATACACAACATTGTTTTGCGTAATAAAAGTACGTGTTGTTTGTTCATAATTATAAGTATGTTATATAAAAGTATATCGTGTGCTAAAATTAAGTATTGTGTATATTCTATGAGACTAGAGTATGTATTGTATTTGTATTATATTAACACATATAATGTATTGTCTGTGGTAATATTATGCGATGTCTGTTAACACGGTATGCTATTCAACACAGTACTGAATTTTATATTCAACACTGTAACCGTCGCCAATTTTTAGTTTATCTATGAGGCAATTCACATCATTCTCCTTATAAATATAATATTTCATTTAAAAAAAATTATCACATTCAACTACTGTTTAAACATAAAGCACAAACACAAACCTATAGGATGCTAGTTGATGATAGGCATAACGATCCCTAAAAACGCAACAACTTATTTGTATTTCACGCAGGAATCCCACATATGGCCGAGGGCGCCGTGGCCTCTTTACTTAGCCAACTTTCGACATGGCTTGGAGATGAGCAAAAGCTACTTGGAGGGCTTGGAGACGAGGCCAAGATCATTCACGACGAGCTACAACATTTGAGGGCATTTCTTAGGGATGCCGATGCCGGAGAAGAAACCGATACCAAACTCAAAGAATTAGTGAGGCAAGTGCAAGAAATTGCCTACGATACCGAAGATGCTCTCGAGAGCTACATGCTCCTATCGAGTAGCACGATCCGTGGGCGTGTAAAAAAATTTCGACACTCTGAAAAACTTGCTTGCTAAACACAAGTTGGCTTCTGATATCAAAACACTACGAAACCGACTTCAAAATACTTTCAAAACATTTAAAGATATGGTTATGACGCTTCCTCAAACAAGTCCTAGCACCATCGTGAGCAATGCCTACTATGATGGTCGAGGAGACGCCCTACTATTGGCAGAGGCAAACGTTGTGGGGATCGAGAGGCCTAAGAAGCAACTCATCGAGTGGATTTCCGCGGCTGATTACAATCTTAAAGTCATTTCGGTAGTGGGAATGGCTGGGTTGGGTAAGACTACTCTCGTAAAAAAGGTCTATGATGATCCATCGGTGCAACAAAACATCGATCATCATGTGTGGATCACCGTTTCTAAGACATACGAAGTCGGGAATCTTTTGGTAGACTTGATCAAGAAGCTGCTGAAAGAGGTAAAACAAGAAGTTCCATTAGGATTGGAAGCCATGAATGTCGATGGTTTACGAGAGTTTGCTCATGAATTTCTTCGAGACAAGACGTATATTGTTGTTCTAGATGACGTTTGGAGCACGAATCTCTGGGAAGCGCTACGATACGTATTTCCAAGGAGAAATACACATGGTCGTGGCTGCATTATCGTCACCACTCGATCGAACAACATAGGCGATGCAGCATCTTACGAAAACGACGGGCATATCTATCCTCTACAACCATTGCCTCCACAAAGAGCAGAGGAGTTATTTTACATGAAGGCATTTCGAGACGGCTTGTGTCCCGATCATCTTAAAGAAATTTCTGAAAACATCTTGAAGAGGTGTGGGGGATTACCTCTCGCCATTGTCGTTATCGGTGGCGCTTTAGCTTTGAAGAGAAATAAGATCGAAGAATGGATTAAGTTTAGCCTCAGGATTGAATCAAAAGTCGATGGTGTTGATCTTTTGAGGATATGGAAACTATTATCTCTGAGTTACAATGATTTGCCATACTACTTGAAAGATTGTCTTCTATACTTAAGCATCTTTCCCGAAGATGCATTGATCGAGAAATCTACGATGATTCGTTTGTGGGTCGCAGAAGGATTCGTGGAGGTCGAACAAGGGAAGATGATGGAAGAAATAACGGAAAGATATCTCAATGAGCTTTCGAATAGAAGTTTGATTCGAGTAGCCACAACATCTAAAGATGGAAGGCCAAGAAACTTCCGTATTCATGATATTGTGCGAGAATACATTATTTCAAAGGCGAGGGAGAGGAACATTTTAGCAAGTGTCGAGCAACCGAGAGAAATTAAACTAAAAGATCGCATTCGACGCCTTTCACTTGAGGATAGTTGTGTTTCTTACATTGAGAAGATCAATAATTTGAAATATCTTAGCACCCTTATTTTCTCTGGCTCCGGAGAATTGGAGTGGCGGCCAATCGTATGCAAAGTATTGCGCGGCGAATGTAGAATGCTTAAGATATTGGACTTGAGAAGAGCTCCATTGGATGAAATACCAAACGAGGTGTTCAAGTTATATCATCTCAAATACTTGAGCCTAAGGAACACAAATGTGTCATTGATTCCAAAACTAATTCGAAACCTCGTGAAGTTGGAGATATTAGATCTCAAGGGAAGTAAAGTCACGGAGTTGCCGGTTGAAATATTAAAGCTTCAAAGGCTAAGGTATCTCATAGTGTATAGGTACAAAGACTTTCTTGATTATCCACCATTCGATCATGTTCAAAGCTTTAAGGCGCCATATGGGATTGGACAATTAACGTTCTTGCAAAAGCTTTGTTTTGTGGATGCGAGCACGGAAGTTGTAAGAGAAATAGGGAAGTTGAAAGAATTGCGAAGGTTGGCGATTACAAAGTTGCGAAAGGAAGATGCAAAGGATCTTTGCTCATCCCTTGAACACCTTACTTGGTTAAGTGCACTTTCTATTGAGTCGATTGATGAAGGTGAGGTAATTGATCTAAACTACTCTATGCCTCGTGCGAGTTTACGCTTTCTAAGGACACTTATCTTGGAAGGATGTCTAGAAAAGTTGCCGCAATGGATACCTTCTCTTAATGCTCTAACGCTTTTATATTTGAGATGGAGCAAATTACGTGACGATCCAATTGCATGTCTTCAAGTTTTGCCGAATTTGAAAGTCCTTGGGATATTTAGCGCGTATGAAGGAGAAGGCTTGCATTTCAAGTTTGGAGGTTTTCGAAAACTTGAGACATTGTATGTTTATGGGATGGAAGGGTTGAAATGGATGAGAGTGAATGAGGAATGTATGTCTAGTCTTCGTGAATTCAAAATAGGGGATTGCAAGGCAATGATGGAGGTGCCTATGGGGATCGAGCATTTGCATAATCTTGAGTATGTGGTTTTTAGGGATATGACGAAGGAATTTGAAAAGAGAGTGTCCGAAGGGAAAAAAACCGGCGAAGGCCATCAAGGGAAGCTTGTTCATATTCCCCGTGTTGCCATCTCTAATTGGGTTGACGCCGAATGGAAAGTCAAGTGGTTGTAAAATATATCTAATTCATTATAGGAATGACAACGGATCGAGTATGTGTATGTATACCAAATTTAGATTTGATTTGGTTATTTAGAGTTAAATTTGATTGTTTAAGTACTAGTAAAGTATACTAAGATATTAAAGAAATTTTTAAGTAAAAAGAAAGTCTAGAGTTTAATGTTGTATTCGAAAGATCATACTGACAAGATAATTGAACATATATTGTACATATTATTCGATTGTGAAGTCTCGTAATAAACTTCGAGTACATGGTTGTGGTTTAAATTGGCATGTGCTAGATATAAACTTAAAGTTTTAACCATACATATATACATACAGTGTTGGAACTAATTTTCAAACTCCGAGATAAGGGTAGGCAAAATTGCATATAGATTTCATTTTTTACTAGTTCAATTTCAATTTTAATATATTTAGAACTGTGAATTGCTGACTTTTTTTGTGTGCGCGAAAGAAAATAAAAATGGTAAAAACTTTTAATTTTTTCGATTTCTCTTGATACAACAATAGAGTAATGAAAAAAAAAATGGAAAAAAGAAATAGGAAAAAAAGAAAAAGAACTTTAATTTCTTCTATGCCTCTTGTACCATTCAGGACTAAAATGATAAAAAAATAATTATAAGACTAAAAACTAATTTTTTTCAAAAAATTAACACGTATCTTTCACTATTAGTCTGTGATTTCGGAGTGACATGGAGTGGACGAATTCTCTCTGCGTTTCGAAACCCTAATTAAACCACAGAGCTACGCACGCATTCCCTCCCATCGTCCCTGCCGGAACAGTTACGTCTCCACTTAGTAAGTTCTCTATCTCTCTCTCCTGTTCGGATTTTTCATTGTGCAGAATTTTTAGTCTCCAAGTCTTCGTGCTGTGGGTTACATTTTCCAAGTTTGCGGAGGAATTTCAATTTTGGGGCTTGATTTTCTCATATGCACATTTCTCGTTTACAATATTGTTATATATTGTAAATTTGTACACTTCCGAGTCGATCGCACCTATTTATTTGTTTCCGAGCGAGATTTAGACGAAGGTATGAATGGGAATGTTTTTCGAAGCATTTTGGCATATAAATTGATGTTTGAGAAACTATTGAAGTAGATAAAGGATTATCACTTGGATGGATTTTACTATGGTTACAGTTCCTACCAATCTTCCAATGTTGGCTTGAATTTTGCATGTTTGTTTCTGTGCTCCACTTTTGGAAATGAAATTTAGAAATGGTAGAGATCTTTGTGAATTTCTTTGCATCTTGAAGATATGTTGGGTGGGTGAATTAACTGAACAATATAATGACTCATCTCGAAAAAATACTTGGTGAATTTTGTGTTTGCAATTTATGAAAGCTGGATCTTAGAAGGCTTATTGGGCAAAATCATTTGTGTGGATTACTGAAACTTTTTTAGGATTTTGTCCTTCTGTATTGTATTTCTATTGCATGTTTGAAACAGTGTGGATTGATTGGTTCTAATACGGTGATGTATAAATGTTTTGGATTTGAACTGTCTTAAATATAAATAACTTTTGCATTTGATAGTTTAAATTGAAACTATTTGTTGAATGTTATGTTTTGAATTACAAGTGTTGAATGTGATGTTTTGAATAGAAAATAAGTTGTGGATATAATCCTTTTTAGGAGAAAAATTATTTTATTGGAAAAGGCATCGTGCTGAAAAGAGTTTGAAATACAAACGAAGTATTTTGTATGCAGCAAATGAAGTATTTCATTGTTAGGGTTTTAGGTTTAAAATGTAATAGAATTACATAGAATCATTATATTGACGTTGTCTTTAGGCTTCAGGGAAAGATGTCTTACTCATCTGAAGACGAGACCGACATAAGTGAGTCTGAGCTGGAGGAATACATCGATCGGTGCTATGACCAGTTGAAGAAAGAGAGTCATAAAGTGAGGTTTTCAGACAAGCTTTACAGGTGCCCGTATTGCCCCGGGAAAAAGAAGCTAGTCCATCCATACAAGGATCTCCTGCAACATGCCACGGATCTCGGAAAGGGCTCGCAGAACAAGGGGATCAAGCACAAGGGAAAACATTTGGGACTCGTCAGGTTCATAAAAAATGATCTTGAACCTGAAGACCTATCTTCTGAGCTTGAAGGATTATCCCTCGAGCATATTTTGGAAAGCCATAATTCGAAGGACATGTTTGTGTGGCCGTGGATGGGAATCCTGGCCAACGTCAATGATGTTGGGAGCAGTGTGAGGATCAAGAATGATCTGACTGAGAGGGGATTTAATCCGGTCAGAGTTCGACTGCTACCAGGCGGCAGATATGCCGTGGTGGAATTCATGAAAAACTGGTCGGGGTTTTATGATGGGATTATGTTTGAGAGGGAATACGAGGTTGATCATCACGGGAAGAAGGAGTATATTGGAGCTGCTGATAGTTTGGGAGACGGGTTTTACGGTTGGCTTGCTCGGGCCGATGATTATAAAGCAGAGGGAATTTTAGGAGAGTATCTCCAGAAGAATGGTGACTTAAAGAGTATTGAGGAATTGGAGGCTGACGAGAAGCGCAAAACTGCACTTCTTGTCGCTGATTTGAGTAATACAATTCAAAATTTGAGGATGCGAGTCGAGGAACTTGAGGGCAACTAATGGGAACCTAATGACCGACTTTTCTTTTACCAATCTGCAGTGTTAGCACTTCGATTGTCTGCTTGTGTTCATGTTATCTTCTCTTTTCGAAGTAATCGTGTTTTCATGTTTGGAGCTTAGTACTTTTGATGTCAACACTTGGGGAGGATGGAATCTTTAGGTGGTTTTCAGTAAGATGTTTTGTTGTGCAGTTGTGTATTTTATAGTAATGTTTGGTATTCTAGCGTAGGTTGTTACCAATATCAGGGTATGTTTGGTATCACTCAATGTGAAAAATATCCAACTTTAGTAAAGAGAAAATGTGAAAAATATCCTACGTGTATACCCATTATCACTTTTGTTCTCTATTTATCTTGTTGGCAAAATGTATCCTATACATGTTTGCGAAAATCGTTATTTCTATCATTTGATCGCATGTGACGGCACGTGGTGTGAACGTCACGCGGACAGAAACAACGACTTTTGCAATTTTTCCGTATAGTAAGCATTAATATTAATATTAATATGCCAATTCTAAGAGTTGATGTACTGTATAGAAATAAATAGTATTTCCTCATTCCACTTCTAAGAGTTATATTTACTTTTTGCGTCATTATACTTATACAAATGTCCTATTAATATTATAAGACACTAATGAAGATATTTTGCAATTTTTTCTTAATTTGTATTACGTTTTGAAATAATGATTAATATTTAAAGATCAAACACTTATTGAACTATGGTATAAATCTATGAGAAAAACATCTACTAAACCATTATACTAAGAAATTTTAACACCTAAAAAACATAAGGCGATTCGGCACCAGATCCTAATTGAATCCTTAACTCATCAGATGAACTTGCTTACGTGTTTAAATGCCATTTTCATATTACCCTGTAAAAATGCTAGGAGTCTTGTTCGATACAATAGGCAGTGGAGCTGCCCTCCAATGGCAAAAACAAACTACAAAATGCATTGAGCATATATTGTAGGGTTCTATGCAGTTTTCTGGATCAAGAAAGGGATGGATTTAATCATGTTCAACAATTTGTTACCCTACGATATTTTCAAAGTCGAAGAAAAGAAATAACCTGGTTCTTTCTGTACAAGAGATCTGAATTAATGAAGGACACAGGCAGGAAAACCTCCACCTCAACCCCATCTTTGATGTCTAGACCTGGACCGAATTAGGTATATGCGACCATACACCCATCGTCTGCCTGGTCTTGAGGTAGATTGCTGCAGTCATTAAAAGGTCGGATAAGAGATTTTTGCCGTAACACACCATCCTAGCGACAAACATGATTAATCTATCTGTGAATTATATTCCAAGTATACAATTCTACCACCATCTCTATAAGAATTAGCAAATTACCGCACAAAGATCTTAGTCACTTCCAGTTGTAACAGACAATCACCAATAGTCGAGGGAATAAATAGGACACCAATTGACATGGGTTTTTATATAATGTGCTTCTTCTCAGAAATCGTGTTTGTAATCCTTAGTTTGTTCATCTTCATAATAATTCAAGATCCATGCAATATGATTGTTAGGATGATCAGTTTTATGTTGCCAATATAAATCAAGAATCTATAGAACAAGTTTTTTTTTTTTTTTCTTCTCAAACTAGAATTGTTGGCAATGTGCATTTTTGTGTGAAATATATTATTAACTTTAAGAAATGAGAGAGTAAATTTAAATCATGGTAACAGATAATATTGATTGCACCATGCCATAATTCACCTTATGGGGGTAGGGTACACTATAGTGTTACTTAGAAACATAAACCATCCATGGAGGATTTGTGATGATGTGTTAAATAAGTAAATGTTGATACAAAAATGTTATAAGTTGTTTCGATATTGTGATTACTCATATAAGTAAGAACTTAAAATCATAGTAATTGATCACATGGAGCTCATTGTGGTGAAGTATCAAGGACTGTGCTTCATTTGTGAGTTCTCATTGAAAAAATGCAACCAACATGAAACAATGCATAAACAAATTTCACAAGAAACGAAAGAAAGTCATGTTGTGCTTATACATAGGCATAACATGAAAATATTTATTTTCGTACTTAGGTACAAGGCATTGATCATTTTATAGTTGAAAATATTTATTTTTGTTTCGTTTTTCCAGCTTATTTCAGAGTCAACCTTTGACATGAATTATAAACTCTAAATTGCACTTCAGTTTTAGTATGCAACAAAATTAAGCCTTAAATAAGAGAATCAAAGAATCTCAACATGAGAAGAAGGGGAAAAGTGACAGAAAAGAAAAAAAAAGATTTCTAAAAAGGCAGAGTGGGTGACCAACCTTAGAGAAAAGCAACAATCAATGTAGGTAGAAGAAACCAACCTAAGGGTCTTCGATTTATTTATTTTTCGGTATTAATCTTTACTAATGACATAAAATAAAGAGAAAAGAAGCTGAACCCTGAATTGAGAGACTTCACCCATTAGCAAGTTTTGCATAAGAATCTTTGAATTAGGTAAAAGCTATCAATAGGGAAGAGATACAGAATTAAACCAAAATGTTTAGGACCTAAGAGATAAAATGAGCAGAGGAAAACCCAGCCAAGGGTGGCAAAGAGCTGGAAGTACAAATTAATCCCTTTGTGTTTTTTTTGTGGGTTTTAACTAAGGATTTTATTATTCAGATTCTTTTTTTCCTAAAAAAATATCAAATCAAACAATTCTTATTTTTTTTTTATATTATACTATAAATTTATTTTACATTCAAAACGTTACATCAATATTTATTTATATTATCAAACAACTATTTAAATTCAAATTTTTATCATTCAAAAATCCAAACCCACAAACAAACACACCCTAATAACAATCTTGTATTTGGAGGATACAATACTTTCAGAAAAACACACTTGAAATGTAATTCAGGTGTTGAAACCTCAATTCCAAGATCAATTCACTAACAGATCAAGACACTAGAATCAAGTAGTTGCATGTGAATCCATATTCAAAACAAAAAACATATTAGGATTCAAGATGAAAATCATATCAAGGTTGTACCTCTACTTTTGTTCGGAATTCCAAGGAGCTTTCACATACATGACACTCGGCTCTTTGCGGGGAGTGATTAGATGGATCTGATCTAACAAATGCAAACACCTGCAATTAAATGTAATGCTTCAGGTTATGATAGAATTATGCACCATTTTGAGATTAGTTTATTATCCAACTCAGCTCAAAAGAACATTATAAATTCAACAAGATGCAAAACCTCTTCACCACAGTTTGGGCATGCCCCTTTCAATGCCACCAAGTCATTCTTCCACAGTCCTTGAAGTGCTCCGACTACATGCATTGGAAAAATTAAGATGCAATTCACTAATATATAAGCAATGTTTTACATATACTATTGGGCATTAACAGAAGCTAATTTACAAATGGTTTGTGATGTTGACATTCAAGAAAGAAATGACTTAGTCAAATCTGAACCCCCTATTGTTCTCAAATATTCCTAACATTCTTAAATCTTGGAAATGTACAGAGAATTTGTAAGCTTCTTATATTCAATAATATAATAGTGTCTGCCTCACAAATTCTCCACTGTACTTTCTTTCATTTTTTTCTTATTTCATATAGTTTTTGGCATAATCAAACAGCTGAATACCACAATAACCACACAGTAAATGCATAAAATAAGCCCTGAAAGAAGGCACTGAATATTAAAACAGATGTTTTGAATAATTAAGCTCAATAAACACTTACATATTAGGAGTTTGGATGAATTTAAGTTCTTATGTTTCCTTTCTGATGTAATAGTGATGCTACATGCAATCATTGAGAATTCCAACGAGAGTGGTAAATTCCTAAAGACATAACAATCAGCTTAAAGAAAATTGACTGAGTAGAAATTTTCAGAAAAAGAATATTTTAACATATTTTCATAAGGAACTTTAGGCTAAAAAGAAACACACCTAAAGGTTTTCTATGGTTTCTACAAAAATGATCTACAACATATGTTTACGAGAAGTTTTTTTTAGAAAAACTCAAGCATACAAGCGCAATAATTAGCACATATGCTGATAAAGTATTCATTCTGTTAAATGAATGTGTATTAAGATCAAATTTGTACTACTAAAAGTATCGGGATTGGTTAATGAAATGATTTTTGTTGATATCAGCATATTGTTTACACAAACAAAGCAACAAATGAAGTTTTAGAGAAATAGTCAATGGAAAACAAGGTTAAGCAAATTCTGCATGGTTATAAGAAAAGAAAAAAATGAATTAAGCATGAAAAAGCAATCTCAAGACGAAATTCCTACGAGCTAAATACTCAACTTTTCACTAAGGATCCATAGAGAATATAAACTTTGAAATATCACTGAATTCTATATAAATGGTCCAAAACACAATGAAGTGTGTCGTTTGTGTTTTTTTATCTTGTTTTTGCAATAAAATACTTCCCAACTAAAAAACATTACATCAAATACCTATTGCATATTCAAAATAATCAAACTCAAAACTTTAAGGTTTGTTCTTCCAAACTTTTTTTTTCGACATGATATATTTTATCTTCTTACAAAAGTCAACATTCAAAATAAATTATTATTTTTTATATTGCCGACATAATTTCTTATATCTCACATAAAAAAAAAAAAATTCAAATCAAAACACCAAACAAACAAACATTTATTTTTCATTCAAAATGCCACATCCAACACATATTTTATATTTAAAACAATACATCCAAAGTCCATTTTCTATTAAAAAGATTTGAAATAAAAAACAATATTGTAAAACAAATGAACTATTTGCGGGTTTGGCTCAGTTCAGCTCATTTAAATTTGTTATATGTTTGCTTGTTAAGCTAAACAAGTCAAATACGAACAAAAATTTCAACTTATTATGTTAACAAAATGAGCTCGAGCTGTGTTCATAGACGCTCAATAGTGTTCGTTAAGAAATTAAATTAATATTTGATATTTAAAAATAAACTATTACACTTAATTTTAATTTTTACATAAAACAATTACTCCTTCCATCCTACTTACCATGTCCAATTTACTGTAGATAATTAAGAAATAATTAATAATGTATTAGTGAAAATAATTATCCTATAATATGATTAAGATAATTAATAGTCTTAATTAAAATTTTAAAAATTATAAATTAGAAAATTTTAAATGAGATAAATGTGTATAATTATTTTTAAAAAAAAATGAAAACAACAATGTGGACATGATTAGGTGGGACATAGGGAATAATAAAACTGATAATAATACTTATTAGTTAATTATCCAATTGAATTTAAGCATTTTTTTTTTTTTTCTAAAAAAAAGTAAAGCTATAATTTGCTTAAATAGCAAGCCCTACTAAAAAAACATATTTTAACAAGCCAACTCAAACATGAAAAGTTCCTTTCACTTTGGCTCATTAACAACTCTACCAAAACACTAATAATAATAATAATAATAATAACAAAAAAAAACTACTTAAATCAAAAGAACTTCATAGCAGTGTGAACATGCTATTCGATTACCAGAAGATAATGCGATTGGATAGCCAATGATGGAGCCAAACACCATGACGAGCATTGCATTAAGTGTTGAAAAGAAACCTTGTGCAGACAGGGGACTAATGTATATATCTGGACTGAATGCATCTTGATAAGCTTGAGAAAGTGTGTACACTATAGGCACTAGACAGGCTGAACATCCAAAACCAAGAATCAAGAGCCACACACTTGCCAATGCGAAAACCTGTGAAGGATCTTCCTGCCCTACATACAAGTTATTCGATATTGAAGTGAAGCGAAAAGGAAAAGATTGGTTGCCACGATATTTTAATAAGTCCTATAAATCTATATGAAAGTTATATGACCAAAAACACTTAAACACCATGGTAGGAATAACCACAAGGTTAAGTAGAAGAAGCCTAAAACCCGGAGTTCAAATCACATTCTGAATACAACATAGTTTGATCTCTGTCTATCAAGCATGCAGTTGTATAGCTGGGCAACTTTAATTATATAGATTCACACATTCAGAATATATATAGATAGTAGCTGACATTTGTTTTTCTCAAATTGCTAGCAGCATATTATTAAATTCCCGAAATCCATACAACCAGCAAAGTTGGATAATTTCAAGGGCAATAAAAGGTCCCTAATAGGCTAATCTCCTTGTTTATAGACTGCACCTTTATGGTATTCAAAACCACATCAAATACATCCCTCATCAAAATCATTGAGATTGTAACTAAACCACGAGGACTGATTAATGTCAGTGATGTAATTGCAATTAACAAGTCTTAAGCTTTATATCCAAAATCAAAAAATTCTCAAATTAACTCGAAATGCAGTATACTTTGTAAGCTACTCACTGTCTAGAACTTCCCCAGTCACATTTAAATTTCACTAATGCGCAGTGTAGGACAAAATAGACTCCACTATGATGTATAGTTCGACATTCTATAATGCAAAATTAGATTAGAGACTTCAAAACTGTGTAAACTCACTTTACTGGTGAAATTACCTCAGCATCTGCATAAGTTGATTGCCGCCTGAGGCTGCATCTCGGATACTTAACAACATACTTTGATCCATACCACCGTAATTTCAACTGTTAAACAGTTGAAATTGAAATTAGGAATCAATAAAATGCAACAACCAATGCTAGCTCAAACTAAAGCCTTACCTCGACTCTATCGAACATATCGTCGACTATCAGTGGTTCCCCGCTGTAATAAGCCTCCCGAGCCTTTAAGATGAAGTTAATAAGCAAATCGAACACAATTGCATAAAAATCAACAAACACAACTACTCACTTGACGATAAAGTGCTTCTAGATTCTCCTGACTGGCGGTTTCCACTGGTCCAACGAAGATGCACGACGGTCCTTCCCTTCGAAAACGTCCGTCCTGCGCCGCATCCGCGGCGGTGATCGGGACGGCGTAGCTGCGGGAGGAAATACGGACGGAGAGTGGGGATCCAGTACGCGAACCAGCTCTATAGAGCTCTATGAGCGCCGCGCCGATCACCTGAGGCGGCGCCGGAGGGCACGTGCCGGCCATGAACCGAAGCCTGAGGAAATGATTAGTGTTTTGTACGGGTGGGAATGTTTTGTGTTTGTAGGAGAAGACTGTTTGTGGCCACAAAAAAAAAAAAAAAAAAAAAAAAAAAAAAAAAAAAAAAAATTTAAAAAGAGGAATTGGGGCTGCCTACTGCCGTTGAGTGACGGAAATAAATTCCAATTCTAATTGGCTGGTATATATTATTTTAAATGTGTTTGTTTTCTATTTTTAATTTAATTTTGTTTTAAATTAATATGTTCATTTTATCGTATTTTAAGAAAAGTAAATACAAGCATATATATATATATATTTTTATAATAAAGAAAAAAAATCTAAGAACATGATATTTTTTACTAGAAAAAGAATTAAATTTTAATTTAGATGACAGTTAAAAAAAAATAATAAAATTTAATAAATTTTACTCAAAATAGAAAAATTATAATTGTCATGATAAAAAATATAAATTTTGTCAATATGAAATATTTTTTAATAATAAAAAAATAAAAAATAATAGTAATAAATTGTATGATTTTTATTTGATATTTTGTGGAAAAAAATAATATATATACAATTTTTTAAAATGTGCTAGTTATTATAAATGTGATGTGGATGTATGAATTGAAATGACTTAATAAAAGAGAATTCGAAGGTCAATTTTGATTTTCTTTTTATTGTAAGAAGTTATTAGCAAGTTTGGTCATGTTTTCGAATTTAATTCGGTTGAACGTTTATTTATTTATTTTTATTTTTTTCAATTGAGAGAATTGTTTTTTACTATGATTACGTCGTTTTCGGTCTCTTGCGTCAAATTCAAGTTGATCGGAAAATATATACTTCCTCTGTCGTCTCGTCTCAAAAGGAGTACCTATTTGCATGTTGCGCACGAATTTTTTAATATTAATATTATATTTGTATACAGTACAAATAAAATAAAATAAATATCCTTATTAGTAAAGAATAAAAATAAAAATAAAAATAATCACATTTATATAATAATTTGTGAGTTGTTAAATTTTTTAATATTAAATAAAAAATACAATTATTAAAAAAGAAAATAATATTTATTTTGGAACAAAATAAAATAGAAATTAACAATTTTTTGAAATGTATCAAAATAGAAATATGAATACATTTTTTAAAAAAAGATTATTTAATAATTTTTTTACTTATTTCACAATAAATATGTACGAGCTTCTCCAATTAAAAAAAAAAAAATCAATTTTATATTAAACACAAATCAATTAATCTTGTCATTCATGAATTGGTTAAACTACACCACTTACAACTAATCAATTACACAATAAACTTTACAAGTATAACTTCATCAACACACTAATATACACACAATGGGATGATGGATATGTGCAAAGGAAATCACCCAAAAAAAAAAAAAACTTTAGTGAAACCTTCATGATTTCCTTGTCTTCACACAACAATCGAACAACAAAGACCTCCATGGATGATCGAGCTCACCTTAAAATCCCCAAAAAAAGAGCTTCAAACCATTTGTGATCGATTGAAGAAATGGTCCCATTCATGAGGTTTTGTTGTTCCAAATGTGTAATACTTCCAACTCTCCTCCGGGTCGAAGTTTTCGTCGTCTTGCCGTCGCTCGTTCATTTCTTTCCTCAACCCGTCGACGCGCTTAACGACACCTTGAACGGCCAAGTCGAATGCATCCTCGACGCGATCCAATCTCGACCTCGGATCCGCGTAGATTACGTTCGGTATGAGCTTGATCACCTCTGCCCTCATTGCCGCGACTTTGGCTTTTGGGATCCGGGAGAGCACGCGCTCGATGCTCACCCTCTTGTTCTTGACGTCTTGCTCGGGTATTAGCACCGAGTATGAGGTGAAGTCCTTGGGTAGGTGCCATAAGTATTGCACGTACGCCGAGCCCGGCGTGAAAAAGACGGGGATGCAACCGGATATTATTGCATCGAAGGTTGATCGCCTAGTGATTTTCGTGAAATTATATGTTAGCGTTGGAAGACCATATATATCATTAGGCAAAACTGCACAAAATTGCGTCAAATCTCTTATTCTTCTAAAATTGCGTCAAATTCCTCATGGTTTCATAAATTTTGCGTTTAATCTCATCGTGTTTGATCTATATGCTCGCTCCTAAACAAACACGCTCCCAAACTGCGAATGGGTTTCAAAATCCATATTTCTAAACTCTTGAAATTACGAATTTTTTTATTGTTCCTTTAGGCTAAATGTAAGAGAAATAAATATATTTGTAATTTTATGAGTTTAGAAATAAAGATTATGAATCTCATTGGCAGTTTGGACGTGTATAGATCAAACATTAAGGACGACCGAAAGAATTAAATGTAGAATTTATGCGTGTAGAAACACTAAGACGACCAAAGGGCTAAACGCAGAGTTGATGAACTACTAAGGAACTTCAGACAGTTGGACGTGTGTAAATCTAACATTAAGGACGACCGAAGGGGGTAGATGTAGAATTTATGCATATAGAAACACTAAGACGACCAAAGGGCTAAACGCAGAGTTGATGAACTATAAGGGAGCTTCAGACAGTTTTTGTTGTAGGAGATTTAGCGCAATTTAGTAAAATCACAGTTTTTTCTATATAATTAATGATATTTTTTTATCAGCTTAAATTTTTAGGTGAAACCATCAACAAAAAGGTATGCGAGGGCGTGTTGGTAGACTATATTTATGTAATTAGTGATGTGTCGTAGTTTTTTACCGGGTGAAGGAATCGCCGGGAGGTTGTAAACAAAAAATCGAGCTCTCGAACATCCTCATCACGTAGGACGGCTTGAGGCAATTCTTCTTCTCATCCTTACACTCCAACATTTGGCATCGTCGCCGAGTGGCTCCTACGCATTGCTGCATAATCTCGCCCCGAATCGAGTTCTCCATATTCGGGCGTGGCGCACCGGCGAAGCAAAACAAAGTTTTCCTCCGCCGCCGCCTCATCCTCCGTTGCCAAGTGTACACCTACAAGAAATAGATGGCTTTATATCTTGTAGTTTACAATTTTTACTTTTTTATTTTTTTTTTACGAGAAAATTGAAAAAATATGGCGCATGTATACCACATTTTTACTTTCATCCTGTATTTATCTTGCTGGTAAAGTATATCCACACTATTTCTATCCTTTGGCGCGATCACATGTGTGATATAAACGTCACGCGCAGCCAAAAGACAAAAATAATGACTTTTGTAAACATATAAGATATATTTTGCCAGAGAAATAAATACTAAACAAATGCGATAATGAAATATATATATGAGAGATATTTTTTGCCGTTTTCTCATTTTTTTACTATACCATCTTAACAAAGTGAAACCTGATCATCGTTCGAGGGATGGAAATAGGTCGGGTAAGGTATAGCAAAGTCATTCTTATCCCACGGGCTCGACTCGATCGTCAAAAACGTTATATTCCGCGACTCGGGTAGTAGCATTAGCTTGCTCCCCCACGCATCGGCGTCGTCGCTCTCCCGACGCGTGTCCCACGCAATCCGGCCGGACACCATAAAATGATCTCGCCCATTCATTGCCTGCCACTCAGGGCTTGCCTGTAGCCACCGAAAAAGCTCGACGGCATCGGCATCCTTGACGGCATTGGTGTGGCCGCCCCACAAGTGGCGCGCCACGTCGAGCCCCGGGTAGTACGGCACGAAAATCGCCGCCGCTTGCGACGGATCATCGGTAAGGCATTCGTACTCCCTCATCGCGTTGTGGAATATCACCTCGAGCGAGAATTGGTGCGTGTCGTACCACCCGGCCGTCGTGAATAGCCGTTGCGGATTCCCGAGCCTCGGCCCGAGGCCAGAGTTCTCGAAATAAGGACACATGTCGTGCCATTGGTTCATCTCCTTGCATTGTTTGACGTAATCGTCGTTGAATTTCGTCGAGATTTTTTGGATGTATATCCATCGGCCGGCGCACGGCTTCCGGCCGCGTCGTCGGTCGGCTTTGAGCTCTGGCTCCGGCTCCTTCTCCTTTTCGCCGCTATCGACGGCGACGGGGATCGTGCTTCTTGTCGCCGCGACATCTCCACCGTCAGATGGATTTTGTCGATCGACGGCTGGGATCAGCGGATCATTCGACGGTTTAAGGTGCCGTAGCTGCTCGGCTTCCAATTCCTTCTCCAGGCTTTCGATGTCGGGCATCGGATCGTTTTCCGGCAAAGCTTCGGCGACATTGGACGGCTGAGATGCGTTTGGATTGTGATCGATGGCTGGATCTTCGGGATAATCGGAGAAGGAAGTGTATCCGTGGCTTTTGTCGTCGTCGCCGTCGGACTCTGTGAATTTGGAATCCGACCGGCCGGAAATTACTGACGGGGAACTGTCGCCGGAATCGTCATCCTCGGCGTTTTGACTGCGGGAGACGACGGAGAAGGCGGGAAAAGAAATGAAATCGAAACTGTAGAGCAAAAAGTACCAGAAAATGAAGAGGAAGAAGAAGACGATCCAAAGCCTGTTTTGGAGCTTGTCCATAATTATATATATATATATATATATATGATCAAGTGAGATATTCTTGCAACATGATTTTGATCGAGAGATTTACTATTGAAAGTAAGAATAAATGTAATAATAATAGATTGGGATGAAAAGAAGAAATTATTAAATGAGGATGGACGAACGGTTCAATATGAATGGCAGATAATCAGCGCAGGTCTGAATTCACTTATTCAGGCAATCAGTTACGAGAGGATTATATATATATATGTATGTATGGTATAATTAATATGGACAAAATTTAAACTAAATTAAATGAAATGACCTTAATTAGGATTTCGTTTATTGTGCTAAAAATAGCAGCAGTGAAACAGATTTATTAGTTGGGGATGATTTTAGCCACATCAGAATTTTGTTGTTGTTGTTGAAGTATTACTTCTAATCATTTGATATATTTAAAAAGAAAAAAAATCTGTAAAATGGTGAAATGTTGTAAAACAATAAACAATATATTCTCTAAATATAAACAATATATAAAATATTAAATAAAAATATCTAATTGTATATACTATAGTCACACGTAAATATAATATATAAAAAATTAACAATATATGTGTTGACATAACACATTATATATATATAAAATATTATATAAACAAAAACATTGCATTAAAGATGCCGCTGTAAGGGATTATGTTAAGTTGTGTGAGTTATACTTTGTTATGTTATAAAAAAATAAACAATATATTGTCTAAATGAAATCAATATATAAAATAGTAAATAAAAATATCTAACTATATATAATATAGTCACACTTAACATATAATATATGAAAATTAACAATATATGTATTGACATAGCACATTATATATATAACATTGTATGAACAAAAATATTGCATTAAATATTGGGCTGTTAGGGATTGTTAACTTGTGTGGTTAAATTGTGACATGTTGTAAAAAGATAAACAATATATTGTCTAATTGCAAACAATATATAAAATGTTAAATAAAAATATTTAACTGTATATAATAAGGTCACACTTAACATATAATATATGAAAAAATTAACAATATATGTATTGACAGAGCACATTATATATATAAACATTGTATGAACAAAAACATTACGTTAAGGATGCTGTTGTAAGCGATTTTCAAATTCTATGAGTTAGACTGTGACATGTTGTAAAAAGACAAATAATATATTGTCTAAATCCAAACAATATATAAATGTTAAATAAAAATATCTAACTGTATATTATATAGTCACACTTAATATATAATATATGAAAAATTAACAGTATATGTGTTGACAGAGCACATTATATATATATAAAACATTTTTTGGACAAAAACATTGCATTAAGGATTATATTATAAGAGATTGTACAGTTATGTGAGTTAGAATGTGACATGCTTTAAAAAGATAAACAATATATTGTCTAAATGCAAACAATATATAATATGTTAAATAAAAATATCTAACTGTATATAATATAGTCACACTTAACATAGAGTAAATGAAAAATTAATAATATATGTGTTGACAGAGTAAAATATATATATTTATAAAATATTATATTCACAAAAACTTTACATTAAAATGTTGTTGTAAGGGATTGTTAAGTTGTGTGAGTTACACTGTGACATGTTGTAAAAAGATAAACAATATATAAAATATTAAATAAAAATATCTAACCATATATAATATAGTCACACTTAATATATAATATATGGAAAATTAACAGTATATGTGTTGACACAGCACATTATATATATAAAACATTATATGAACAAAAATATTTATACATTAATACAATATTATATATATATAAAATGTGTTCTGTCAACACATATATTGTTAATTTTCCATATATTATATGTTAAGTGTGATTATATTATATACAGTTAGATTTCTTTATTAACATTTTATATATTTTTGCATTTAGACAATATATTGTTTATCTTTTTACAACATGTCACAGTCTAACTCACACAACTTAACAATCCCTTACAACAGTATCCTCAATGCAATTCTTTTGTTCATACAATATTATATACATATATATATAATGTGCTCTGTCAACACATATATTCTTAATTTTTAATATATTATATATTAAATGTGACTATATTATATACAATTAGATATTTTTATTTAAGATTTTATATATTGTTTGTATTTAGACAATATATTGTTTATCTTTTTATAGCATTTTCCAGTCTAACTCATACAACTTGACAACCCCTTACAGCAGCATCCTTAATGCAATGTTTTTATTTATACAATGTTTTATATATATATATAATGTGCTCTGTCAATACATATATTGTTAATTTTTTATATATTATATGTTAAGTGTGACTATATTATATATAGTTTAATATTTTTATTTAATATTTTATATATTGTTTGCATTTAGACAATACATTGTTTATCTTTTTACGACATGTCACAGTCCAACTCACACAATTTAACAATTTCTTACAGCAACATCCTTAATGAAAAGAGAATGGAAATAGACCCACAAATTTCAAGCAAAGTTATGGAGGAGCCATCTCGTTATATTTCGATAAGGGGTATTTATTATTATTATTAATTTTTTATTCTTCTTTACCCAGCTACATAAAGGAAATATAAAAAAAAAATATCAAATTGAGTCCCGTAAATGATGGTCTGATAGTGTGAGAGTTGGACTTGTGATCATGAGGTCATGGATTCAAACCCTCAATGCCTCAGGTCACCTGCCACACATAGTTTACCTAGTGTGACTGACCTTAAAATATTATGTTATATGATTCTAGATATGGTGACCCTAACTCTAAATATATATACATAAGTCTACACATTCTTGAGATATTATCTTTCTTTTGTATTAACTATCCTACCATCTCCCTAATTTTTAAAACTTTTTGTTTGTGGTACCACTTCAAGAGGATATAAGTCATTTTAATTTTAAAAGTGATAAGGATATATTGAATCACTTCCAACCATATTTTATTCGGTGAAAAGAGGTATTTCTCGACTCGACTTCCTTGTTGCATTCGCCCAATATTTTCCATCAGGTACACCGCTAATAATATATTTATCATAAAAACTATACAATAAAAAATATATATTATATATACTCTGTATTGTTTTAAAACAGTTTATATTAATAACAACTTAATATCTTTTATTTCATAATAATGTAAAAATTTATTTTTATAAAATAATACATTTTTATTATTTTTAAATTAATATATTCATTAAATCAAATTTAATTTATTTTTTATTTAAAATTAAATTAATATTTTAATTCTATATAATCAATCACAATATTTATAATATAATATTTGTAATAAACAAAATATCTAAAATAATTCAAATAGAAAATATTCCAAATCAAAAAAATTTCAAAACCCCTGTCTAACAGAACTTTTTTTTTTTAATAAAATTTATTATTTATAAAAATAAAATATATATTGTATATATTCTATTAAAATATAAATTTTAAAATATTTAAACATATAATTTTATTTTAAAAAATATATATAGACTGTTAAATAAAAATATCTAACTGTATATAATATAGTCACAATTAACATATAATATATGAAAAATTAACAGTATATGTATTGACAGAGGACATTATATATATATATATAAAATATTGTATGAACAAAAATATTGCATTAAGAATGTTGTTGTAAGGGGTTGTCAAATTGTATGAGGTAGACTGTAACATTTGTAAAAAGATAAAACAATATATTGTCTAAATGCAAAATATATATATAATGTTAAATAAAAATAACTAACTGTATATAATATAGTCACACTTAACATATAATATATGAAAAATTAACAATATATGTGTTGACAGAGCATATTATATATATATATAACATTATATGAACAAAAATATTGTATTAAGGATGCTGTTGTAATGGATTATTAAGTTTGTGAGTTAGACTGTGACATGCTTTAAAAAAATAAACAATATATTGTCGAAATGCAAACAATATATAAAATGTCAAATAAAAATATCTAACTGTATAATATAATCACATATAACATAAAGTACATGAAAAATTAACAATATATGTGTTGACAGAGCACATTATATATATATATATAATATTGTATTAACAAAAATATTACATTAATAATGTTGTTGTAAGGGATTGTTATGTTGTTTGAGTAAGACCACGTAGAAAAGTAAAAATAATATATAAAATGTTAAATAAAAATATCTAATTGTATATATAATATAGTCATATTTAATATATAATATATGGAAAATTAACAATATATGTGTTGACAAAACACATTATATATATATATAACATTGTATGAAAAAAACATTGCATTAATGATGCTGTTGTAAAGGATTGTCAAGTTGTGTGAGTTAGACTGTGACATGTTGTAAAAAGATAAAACATTATGTAAAATGTTAAATAAAAATAACTAACTAAGTGTATATAATATAGTCAAACTTAACATATAATATATGAAAAATTAACAATATATGTGTTGACAGAGCACATTATATATATATAATATTATATGAATAAAAACATTGCATTAAGGATGCTGTTGTAAGGGATTGTTAGGTTGTGTGAGTTAGACTGTGACATGTTGTAAAAATAAAAATAATATATAAAATATTAAATAAAAATATCTAACTGTATATAATATAGTCATACTTAACATATAATATATAGAAAATTAAAAATATATGTGTTGACAGAACACATTATATATATATAAAATATTCTATTAAAAAAACCATTATATTAAGGATACTGTTGTAAAAGATTGTTAAATTATGTGAGTTAGATTGTGATATATTGTAAAAATAAAAACAATATATAAAATATTAAATAAAAATATCTAACTGTATATAATATAGTTACCCTTAATATATAATATATGGAAAATTAATAATATATGTGTTGACAGAGCACATTATATTAAAAAAAAAAAAAAACATTGCATTAAGGATGCTACTGTAAGGGATTGTCAAATTGTGTTAGTTAGACCGTGACATATTA